GGAGAAAAACACCTCCGCCCCCTTTTGATTTAATGTGTGGATGTTGAACCTGCAACCCACCCCACCCCACCCGTTTGTGTTCAGTCCCTCACCTCCACCCCTTATTAGAGCAAAGGAGTTTGATTTGAAGGTGGAAGTTCAGTTCTTCTAATAAAACTGTGGTGTTTTGAGTCACATCGCCCGGTCTGGTTCTTGGGGGTTCTCTTCCTTCCCAAAGGGTGACCTTGCGGGGCCGGGCAGCTCCCGAAAGCCCGGCCAGTTTAGTGCGGGAGAAGCTTTCGGAGAACCAAGATCCGGAAACGCTTCGGTCACGATAAATGGTAGAAGCCTCTTCCCAGCAAAATATGGCTGTAAGTTATCCAACGGAAGAAGAGGAGATTGGATTTATACCCCGCCCTTCACCACCCAAAGGAGTCTCAGAGCGGCTTACAAACTCCTCTCCCTTCCCCTCTCCACAACAGACACCCTGTGAGGCAGGTGGGGCTGAGAGAGCTCTGGCACAAACTGTTCTTTTTCAAGGACAGCTCTTGTCAGAACTATGGCTTGCCCAAGGTCATCCAGCAGGTGGAAGGGGGACTCCGTGGAAATTGCCAATCGAGTCTGGATCCAAGCCAATGTTGGTATCAACACAGGCAAGGGTCATTTTGTAGAAAAAGAGGTGCAGTAGCTCATTAGCATAACTTATTTGCATATGCCACACCCCATGACATCACCGGAAGTGTGTCAGAAGGCAACACCCTCCGCTTAGGAGCCACTGGACTGTTTTGGATTGCTAGCTATTGGGGGGTGGGGGGGAGAACATGCAGATCTGTCCTCACAGAGGAGGGGGAGCTTGTACCTGAATAAAACTTGGTCTTAAAGGTGCCACTGGAGTGTTTTGGACCGGGGGGGGGTAGCTCTGCAACTTACCTGGCTGCTTCTTGCTCTGACTGAGGGCTGCTGCGAGCAGGGGGTGGGGCTTGTTGCATGTGCCCGCCCCCTGGGCTCTTTACTGCCAGAGCTCTGCTCCTGTGCGCTCCTGCAGGAAATGACCCCTAAACACAGGTTCTTAAAAACTACAGCAGCTTTGATTCTTGGCTCCTCAAGTCCCGTAGTGCTAACAGAAGCCTAGGCACGCACACAGCACTGGCCAGAGACTGCTTTAGGAAGAGGTGTGCTGAATACACAGATAGCACCGGCCGGCTCTGTGTTCAGGGGACTATCGGCCTTGGAGTACTAGAATCTGGGGAGGGAGAACATCAGAAGAGCCCTGCTGGATCAGACCAGCGGTCCATCCAACCAGTCCCTCTGGAGGGCCAACAATGGGCATAGAGGCCGAGGCCTTCCCCTGATGTTGCCTCCTGGCTCTGGGATTCATAGGATTAGTGCCTTGGAAGGTGGAGGTTCCCTTTAGTCACCAGGGATATTAGCCACTGATAGACCTCTCCTCCGTGAATCTAGGTAACTCCCTTTTAAAGCTGTCTATGCTTGTGGCCATCACTGCATCCTCTGGCAGCGAGTTCCACATTTTAATCACTCTCTGTGTAAAGTAGTATTTCCTTTTGTTCGCCCTGAACCTACTGCCCAGCAGCTTCGTGGGATGCCCCCTAGTATTTTGGGAGAGGGAGAAAAAGCCCGCTTTGTCAACTCTCTCTACCCCTTGCATAATTTTATAAACCTCTCACATGCCCCCCCCCCCAGTCGTCTCTTTTCCAAACGGAAAAGTCCCCGAATCTTCAGCCTTTCCTCCTAGAGAAGAAGACGAGATTGGATTTATACCCCGCCCTTCACTACCCAAAGGAGTCTCAGAGTGGCTTAAAAACTCCTTTTCCCTTTCCTTCCCCTCCTCACAACAGACACCCTGTGAGGTAGGCGGGGCTGACAGAGCTCTGACAGAAACGGCTCTTTTTAAAGAACAGCTCTTGTCAGAACATATGACTGACCCAAGGTCATCCAGCAGGTGCAAGTGGAGGAGTGGGGAATCAAACCCATTTCTCCCAGATTAGAGTCCGCGCACTTAACCACGACACCAAACTGGCTCCAACCCCCTCATCATCTTGCTTGCGACAGCCCACCTGAAACAGTTGTTGGGATTTGTACAGGCTGGACTGGACTAAAGATGAGCCTGCCGTGCAATGTGGCTGCGAAGAAAGCGAATGCAGTCTTAGGATGCATTCACAGAAGCCTTGTGTCCAGGTCACAGGAGGGGGTCGTTCCGCTCTATCCTGCTACGGTCAGGCCTCACCTGGAGTCCTGTGTCCAGTTTTGGGCACCACATTTTAGGAAGAATGTTGACAAGCTCGAGCGTGTCCAGAAGAGGGCAACCAGGATGGTGAGAGGGTTGGAATCCAAGTCTTAGGAGGAAAGGCTGAAAGAGTTGGCTGTGTTTAGCCTGGGAAAGAGAAGGCTTAGAGGGGACATGATTGCAGTCTTCAAGTATTTGAAGGGCTGTCGTGTAGAAGATGGAGCGGATCTATTCTCTCTTGCTCCGGATTGCAAGACTAGATCTAATGGGTGGAAATTACAAGGGCGTTGTTACCGGCTGAATATCAGGAGAAACTTCCTAACAGTAAGAGTGGTTGAGCAGTGGAACAGTCTGCCTCGGGATGTGGTGGATGCTCCTTCGCTGGATGTTTTCAAGCGGAGGCTGGACGACCATCTTTCGGGTATGTTGTAGGGATGTAGGGCTATCTTTCGGCTATGCTTCTGCAGATTGCAGGGGGCTGGACTAGATGACCTGCAAGGTCCCTTCCAACTCTAACATTCTATGATTCTATGACCGAGCGCAGAGAGGGAGAGCTGTCAGAGTTCACAGTGGTGGTTTGGGGAACTGATGCAGGATCCGTGGCTTTGCTGCCTGTTGCAGCAGTCCGCTTGTTTCTAATAGGGGTCCGACTGATGGGCACGCTGTCAGATGGGCCTCTGGTTCCACCAAACGTCCTGCTTATTAAGACAGGGAGCACCACTCCCGGTCTCCGTCCCAGATACAACCGCTGGCACCTCCCGTTAACAGGATCCCACATCGGGGGGCTTAAAAAGACATTTGCCTACAATATTGGAGAGCCACGACCTCTCTCGAGTGGCAAAAGCTGGCCGAATGGTCCAAGGGTTGGAGGCCCATGATGCCGTTTTGCACGTCAG